CGCAAGTAAAAGGAAGGGAAGCCGTGCCACCACCAACCTTTACTGTCCGAAACGTCGAAGGGCTCGTGCGTAGCGCTTCACCACTTCACTTGCGGCGGACCACTAATAACGCCACCATGCCACGCCAAACACTTGCGTACGCAGCTTAATGCTGGGCGGAGATGCTGAGACAGTTAATTTATAAAAAATGCGATGTTGCGGATGCGGATTTTTCAGTTCGAATATTAACGTCTTACACACTTATTTTAATTTCACTGGCGATTAATGTGGCTTTGGCGTAGCACGGATTAGGATGGGAAAGGAAAAGGAGATGCGAGCTCAGTCAAATTATCTGGCGTTACCAACCATGATATAAAAGCTAGATACGTTACGTACTAATATTGCAAGTTACATTATAACGGCGATAAACGCGATGAAACAATTTAATAGATATTTGCACACCTACTATCCCGCCGCTTTACAAGGCCTGACTTGTAAAAAGAAAATAATGTTTTGGTACTCTGTGTGATTTGTGACCTTTCCGCCCATGTGCCGTAAAAAATGAGTGCATACGGCGGCGTAAAGTCGGTGACTTGGCCGCAGCTGTCCGCAAACAAAAACAATTCTTATCGCCCGGCTGACCTACATTTGTCAAGAGGCTCCGCACAGGGCCGAAGTGAGGGTGAATTGATAGATTAACTAATTTATTAGGACATGCCTAAGTTTTCTTCTTTTATACGTAGCATGTTAATGACAAATAAAGATCATTGGGCAAATATTTTTTTTTATTTAACTCATTATTAACATAGATGCATTTGCACACAAATGCCATTGCATGTCACATATTAAGTCATCTATAGCATTCTATAGATGACTTAATATGTTTTTTTTTTTTAAATATATAATAGACACACGCTTGGCCACAATCTCACCTGATGTTAAGCGACGATGTGACCGACGATGGGACGCGTTTGCCTAAAAAATGCCTATTCACTCTAGCCTTCAATAGCCCCAAATTGTACTTTTCGGGAAATACAGGGAAATACAGTAGAGCATTCCATTCCTTTGCCGTACGCATCAGAAAGGAGGAGGCAAAGCGCTTAGTGCGAATAGGTGGAATATCAACGACATAAGAATGGAGTGCTCCGGACCTTCTAGTCGACCGAAGGAGGAACGGTGAGGGCGGAACCAAATTGAAAAGTTCCTGCGCACACTCCCCGAAATGTATCCGATAGAAAACCGACAAGCAGGCTACTTTTCTGCGATGATCGAGATTTTGGAGCTTCGACTCCACAAGAGGATTATTGTTAATAAGTCTCTTTGCTTTACGCTCCACCGAGTCCAAGGCAGCTAACTGGTATTGGGCATAGCCGTCCCAAAGGTGGCAGCAGTACTCCATACAGGATCGAACTTGTGCTTTATACAGATTTAATGATTTATTTTACAGTTTTTATATATATTAATTGATTTACAGATTTAATGTGACAAACATAAAATTGTCATACCTATATATAGTATCTCTATCCATAACATTTACAGTGCCGCTCAGAGCTTTAAATTGCAAAAATCTGAGGGACACTGCCACTGCGACATAAGTCGCCCTGAAACATAAGTTGCCAAGTCCCATGTCCCTGTATTTTCACTTGTCTTATTAAAGAATAACGCGACAGTTCTAAGCTTATAAGCAAATAAACATTAATCTAATCTAAAACTGTGAAGGCTATTATGGCCCAACTTTCCAGATTACATTAAACGTTACTTCAAAGTAAGTAATATTAAAATTGACCTACCAACAAATTAACGATTATTAGAAAGTAGCCGCTTGCCAAAACCGTACATCGTGATGTAAGTGACAGGCGTGACAAAATCACGGTGATTTGTCACTGTGATTTTTTTGTAACTAGAACGATATTCACAGTGATAGAAATGCAACGGCTTTCCACATATCTTGTACCAAGACGGTTACATGTCAGTGTTTATGTTATACAAATTCATGATATAATAAACGACACATTAAGTTATGTGATAGTTTGACAACATCTCATAAATCTTGATACAGAAACTTGAGTCCCTTGGCGAAATCATCAAAATACCCTTTATTCACAACCCTAATCGGAGGAAAGTGTAAAGGAAATCCCTACTTCAAAACAGCTACATGATGTTGACGGAAAAATGCCATAATATGTTAGCGTATAAAATATTGCTTCCAAATGCGGGAGAAAGGTGAATCCACCTGTCCATTATTACTTATCAATATTAAATTTTTGGATCATTTTTTATCGTGCACATTGACCAATTTCCGCATTTTTCTCTGCCGTAAATATTGATTGTTGTACAAAAAAACCACGTATATTATTATTTCGTTTGTTTTCATAGAAAACATTAGCATGATTAGCAAAAGTACACGGCGACAGCACATTATCAAAATTCTAGTTCCTTTCCCGTGAGAATTGTGAGGATGTTTACGTTATGTTGGATCGTAGACTAATTATTATTCTTAACAAGTCACTTGCGTTACCGTAGCAACGCCATGGCGTCGCTATACTAGCGCCTTCGCCGCCCGTGGGCTACAGAAAGAACTAGCTTGACTTTTGCCAGACTACATAGTTCTGAGTTCCTCTTGTAGGTGGCGCTCGCTATGAACAAACTTATTCGGTACAACGATCTGCAGTGTTTACTTAAATTTACTGTAACCTTTTTCAGTATCAGCTCGTTTAAAGTAAAATTATTTACAATTTCGTACCTTATATGACACTTTCATCTTATTACCTGCCACAATTATTTAGCAAACAATTTTCGCTGAGGACAACTTCGATTGACATCGTTCTTTTATGTATTGATTCATAGTATTTTGTATATTCAAGTGAAATTCAGAATTATCTACTTATTTCTATTAGGTTTTCGCAAATTTTGTAGCAGGGGTTAAGCATATAATAAAAAAAATTAGGTTCGCTGAAGTTACTGATTGTTATTAACTGTTTTGCCTTTGCAGAAACTCGATTATAGTTATACTTATTTATAGATGAAGTTAATTAGATAAAAATCTAAGCACTTTATAACCCTAAACAAATATATTACTTTCCGTCCCGGGCCAAGTTTTTATGTCGATAATAAATCTTGATGCTTTCGTCTTTAAAATGTTCCTGCGAAGTTTTATCCCGGGGAGGAATATTTATGGAATTCCCGGGTTCTGAGGAATTTGTTCCTCGGGAACTTTAAGAGTGCGTAAAGTATTCTTTTGAAGTGATTTTAAGCTCCAGTAAATTGTTTGAAGCCGCATCTTAACATTTGTAATAATTATTATTTCCTAAATTACCGTGCGTTTACTTGTAAGGTTCTCCTAAAATCGCAAAAAAATTACGAAACTAGAGGTCCTTGTGAAAGAGTTCTTCCAGGGAAGGAGTATTGCCGCCTTACTTATGTCTGCCGCCAAGCATTACTGTGTTCCGGTTTTGAAGAGTAGGGGTGCTGGTGAAATGACAGGCACATAGGCTTGTCAACTTATATCTCAGTGTGACAGAAGCAGTGGTAGTGTCCCTAAGATCTTTGTGCGTTAAATCTCTGGGCGGCACTGCAGCTGCCATGGACAGGCGACAGGCGGCATATCGCTTAACACCAGGCGCACGACTTGTTCGTTCCGTCACTTGATGTCATAAAAACATTAAACTAGCTGCTGTTGACCGGTTGCGTAGCAGTGTCGAAAACGTGTGAAATTCCCAACCCGCTCTGGACAATGGCCTTGACCATCTCCTTAGCGTGCATAACCTAACATGTAATACTTCAGAAATTTTTGCGAGGATGGGCACAACAACTCACAAAAGTTTTATCGTAATCACATGAATAATGGACTATATAGGATAAAACTGCACAGCGATCACCAAGTCCTCCTTTTTTGGGGAAGCACCGAAAACAGTTAACCTCCCAGCCTGATAAAATGCATAGTACAAGATATTGAATACTTTTTGCTTTACATTTTTGAACTGTATAAAAATCACATCTTACACCTCAATTACAAAAATATCCAAGTTCATAATGATAACGACTAAACTAACTTCATATTATAAAAAAGATTAGTACAAGCTTTTATTAAATTTGATGCCTTTGATGAAAATGTGTTAAGCGAAGCCAGTTTATCTTAACAACTGGTAGTCTCAAAATCGACACCGATAACTAATTGACCTAGATTATTTTCAATCGTAACCAAATGTAAAAGGAAAAGTTAAAATGTCGGCATAATTGTCCCTTTTGAGAGCGAAGGAAACGCTTTAATGGCTTTGCCTCTGTTAAGCGCTAAGAGCTAATCTGACAGAATTGATCGGGCTCTAAGCGGCCCAATTCCACAGATTGAATGATTTTTAAAAAATCTTATGAAAGAATGTTCCCTCGACATTTCACAGCAATCATTCTAGAATAGCTGTATGAATAGATGGAAAGAGTTTTGTCCACCAGGGTAACCACCTCTTTACCTTCAACGTAGAAAAAATGACAGAGCGAAGGCACGTGAGACAAAAACAGTAAGATTACATACTTTAATTTTGTTTTTATCCTTACACCTCATTGTCTTTATTTGCTTATTGACGTACTATTACTTATATACGTGAGACATTCAGAAACTTTTGCGACTCTAAAAAAATGTTTTATGGCTATGATTTTTTTTTATGAAATCTTTTCAAAGAACTCTCTACGCCTAGTTTCATGCGTCTGAACCAATTTTCCAAACACTTTTTCCAGTCCGTAACATCCGTCCGGACATTGTGAAGCAGTAGCTCGCGGAGCTCCGTGTTCGGTCGCTTGTTACTCACAGCATTGAAAACTTCTGGCAAACGTTTGGTAGTATACTATTCGGTATTAATGCTACTTTGATTTCGTGAAGGAATGGATACCTACCCTTTTTAGGTGTATCTACCCCTAAAAATAAAAATAAAAACTAGCACTCAAGATCTTCCCGCCTACCTTAGTGCTACTTACTGATATGATAACAATAATGATAATAATATGTATTAAAACAATGCATATGTTTGTTTCAGGTTAAGCAGTAAGCAGGTCCAAGATGGCAGCGTTCGTGGCTAAGCAGATGGTGGGCAACAAGCTGAGCGCCGTAAAAGGTAAGTCCACACTATAATGAAGTCTGTAATGTAACACATAGTTCATTCGGAATATATAAATTGATTTGAAACGTTATAAACCTTACTTCAACAATTGGACTAGGTTCCCGCCCATTATTAAAAACGAGGAAAAGTATTCACTGTTTCTAAATAAATTAAAATTACATCTTATTCATAAATGCTATTACAATTTAAATGAATTCTTTGATGACAAATAAAAATAATAATATTATAATAAATTTGAATAATAAATAAATGTATTAACATATTATATTATATAAATGTATTATTATATATACTATAAAGTTATGCTACTGTAATCTAATTAAATTCAAACTTTCAAGTGACATAATTCTACTCATAATATGACGTATTTCTTTATTATTATATGACTTTTATTTATATTATTATTTGATAAATAACAATTATAATTAATAAGTGAAACCTCGGCCTACCTCTGCTGTTATTGTCATCCCTAATAAAGGGCTCATATGTGTAGCCTTATTTTAAATTTAAGACATGTATACCATATGAATGCAATAAATGTATTGAGTATTGAGTATTGAGGTTTTTGACGACACCAGGATTGTATCGGGTACTACTTTCATCTAAGATAATGATTAGTTTACTGACATGCGGTAGACCATATCTATAGAGTGACAATTAAAGTTCTGAGTGCTAAAGTATACAACCGTATGTACATAACTAAAAAGCACATTTTACCGGCTTACAACAAATTGTTTTAGTATCTAGGTACTGACTTAAACCTACACTACACTACCTTCACTACATGGTCAAGGATTTTAACCATACTATAGTTAAAGCCAGGTTTAGATTTGTAATAAGACTAACTGAAGATAAGTTAGACAGTCCATGGTTTAAAGGCCACCAATGTACGGGACGATTTCACGATCATTGTAAGGTATACAGACGATTTCTCGTTTCGATAAATCGTTTGGGTAATTCGATCGATTCGTCGTTTGGATCTGTCTAAAACGACGGATAGTAGAGGCAAATTGTGGCGTTTATGGGTACCTCCAGACGATTATCGTAACGATCTATCTAACCAAGGAATCGTGAGTACACATGTCAGGTCCCACCTGACATTCATAGTATCCATAGTTTAAAAAAAAATTGTTTACACAGGTTTCATTCGATGCAATGTTCCGTTTCTGTATGTGTTGATATTATTTTTACACTTTAAATGCATTTTTAATTATTTATCAATATAAAAATATGTCATAAATTATTATTTGTTTAGGGTTAAATCTATTGAACAAACACAACTAAAACTTTTTTAATAACTCTAGTGTAACACGGAGTGAAGTGGTTAAATCGAAGCGAGACGTTCAATGTTATTTATATTGCGTCTCATATGAAATATTTGTGCTTTTATTCTTTGTTACATCTCTGTCATATCGAGTTCATAGGTTTTCGCGATTCTTACAAATAGGAAATAAAACTATTTTTCCTGATTTAATTTAAGATTTAAGTTCAAAAAAATAGTTTCATCTCCTATATCTCTGGCACTTAATTCGAAAGGGTCCACATCATAATGACGTGTTACAAATGCTCGTGACCTCTCCAACGTGTTCAAGCCTTTCAAAGTACAGGCTGTGGGTTTGAATCCTGACTCGCACCTTTAATTTAACTTTTACCATGAGCTTTGCGGTGAAGGAAGACATCATGATGAAACCTGCATGTCGAAGAAGGTTCACAACCCTCGGAAAACGTGACGTGGGGACTTCACTCCCCAACCCGCATTGGGCCAGTGTGGCGGACTATTGCCTAAGCCTCCGTGCCGAGCAGTGAGACACAAAAATGGGTTAATACTAAAAAAATGAATCATATTAATTTCCATTTTCAACAATTTGTAAATAATAAACACAAAATTAAATTAGTATTACCTAACCTCAAAACAAAATAGTCATTGATATTTGACTAAAGTACCGAAATTATCTCGTGGGTTTAACTTTAGTACCATAGATAATCCGTAGTTTAGTGATAAACTACGTTTTATAACTGTACCATTAATCCTAGTACCTACTATATTTAGACTGTGTTTTGTATTAAAGCGGTAAGACTGCCGTGTTTAACCACTAAACGATTATCACTAATTACAAGTAAAATATTTAATTGTACTTGGTGATAACCATAAATGTAATAGGTATAACTGATTTTCTTATAACAGCATTCACAATTTTTTGCAAGATTTTCAATAGAGGATCGCTTCGTATCGCAGATCACAACAGAGAAATTGGCCAAATCGGATCGGAAGCACGTCATCGCGGCGCTCGTTACGTCTTACCTTTTATCGTGATTTGTCGCCAGGCGAAGACGCCAACTTACAGATTCACACGGAGAATACTTTGAATATAATCGTGTCACAAAATAGTTATACTATTTTGTGATACTAATAGGGATACAATTGTACGTACCAACTTCGGGAGTAAATATCAAAGCTTGCTCGAAACGAAAAGTTTAGACGTTAGTGACTGTGAAACGAGCATGAATTACTTTAAATGTAAAGGTGTTGTATATAACTTAGCATATTGCGTTGAAACCGCCAAAACGAAAAATGGGTCAAACAACCACCCCGGTCTTCTAGGAGACTCGTCTGTGGCACTGGGACGATTATAATTATTATGGAAGCATGTGAGACATAAACCTTTTAGAAAAAGAATGATTCTCCTGGAACTCCCCTGTCGCCGCCGGGAAGCGCATCTTATTTTCTTCTTATAGATGTATCACTTATCAAACATTTTTCGAAGTGGTTGCTGTTATGGCGGTACAGACAACCGCACGACTAAGTTTGCAGCATCGCCGGTAGAATTTGTTTATTGAAAAAATATGCCGATCCTTCCGAACTTTGAACTTACTTTTGAAGGCTTTTAATTCAGTCTTTTGATTTTATCTCTTTCAAAGTGTTTAAATGTATTTCGTTTCTAAGTACATTTTTAGACTTTTGTATGTATGTTACGCGATAACTCCGGTATTTGTGAACCGATTTTCATGATTCTTTTTTTTGTTGGAAAGGGTGTACTTCCATAGTGGTCGCATGTCATTTTGAAGAAAATCATCCACCTCGAAGGGTGGCTGTTCACGCATGAAGGTTCATTTTTATAAATAGCGCCTAAATTTTATTATAAGGAGCAATTTTAATGGTTGATTTTGCTATTCTCCAATTCAAGGCGTTTTTCTCTCTCAATATACTTTGAGTAGTGAGAACCGATTTTTATTATCTCCTGTGTCAAGTTCCGTATAGTGGCGAACTAGGGGATGAATCCGGGTTTGTGCACTTTCTGGTAACCGATTTCAATAAAAGTTGGCAAATAGATGTAATTCCACGTACTTTTGAGGTCGGTTTTTGAGTACTCTGTAATGAGATTATGGTGTTACTGCTATGAGTCAGCCGTGACCATGGGACGTTGGTTTGGAAAAAAAATGTCTCATTTCCTACATATAATAATACATACTACATATAACAATCGCTAAAACCTGAGAACTCGACGTAACAAACGGTAGTTTGTATAAACATAAGCAAGTAATAAATGAATTAATTTACCTTGTGATAAAGGTTTACTTGTAATTCGGCATGTAATCCCTTAAAACCCGTAAAAATATATATCATTTTAGGAAAGTAACGTGCGCCCGTTAATTCACTTCCATCTCTCATTTTTTTTAACAAACCGACCAATATCTTTTAATGTTGCCATTTTTTTTATTGATTACACCCCAATCAAATCGGTAACTTATTTTTTAAAGTTAACAGTTATAGCAGGCAGTAACAAGCATTTCAAATCAAATAACCGACAACACAGCTTTTGCTAACATTTGTATTCTTTTGTTTTAGTAGATTACGTAACTTGTTGTTAACAAATTGTGAATGACTTGACCAGATTGGTGTAACAAGAAAGCCCAGGGCCCTTTTCTTTTGTTAAAACGGCGTTAAGGTAAAAAACTGCATCCACACAATACGACAATCGCAAGCAAGAAAGGAATCCATTCTTTGAAATTCTCTCAATCACAACAACCGACAATCGGTTGCTTCGACGTTTCCCTAGATTTCCCACGGGGTGCGGGAATCCTAGATCTGCCGTTATTTGAGTAGCTCATAAAATTTTTATAATATACTGAACTATCTAGGACGTTAACATTCCTTCCCAAGTATATCTGTATAAGTTTCTTAAGTAAAACTTGCAAACAGAAAGTAGTGACTATGTGTAAGTAATACAACTTATTATTTAATTTCTTAATGTTTATTATATACTACTTCATTGGAAGACATTGAATTGATATAAAATTATTTATTCTAAAATGGATAGACTACCCTTTAAGTATATAACTTGAGCAATTGTAATAAAAAAAACCATACCTGCCTTTCAAAAACATTCAAAGTTTGTAAACATTCATTTTTTTTTGTTAAGTTAATGCTTAGCTAATTATTAACTATTTTAATCATATGTAGAAGTAGAAATAAAAACAAATAATAAAATAAGAATGAAAGGTATCTATGCTTATAAGATCCACTAAAATAATGAGTATCGGAAAACAGTTCAACGTAGTTAACAATACACTGCAATAGTAAAGGAAGCATGAAAGCAGTTTATAAGAAATTCATTACAATTGCGACACACACTCGTGACAATAACAAGACGATAACAAAATTACAACTTTCCCGTTTATAATCTGGGATATCGACACACATTGGATGCTGGCTTTTTCTACTTTTCATTTTATGCTTTATCACCCAAATCATGAGTTTTGGTAATGGCCTCACTAGCGCATCAAGTCCTGCCACCGATATACATATTCAAAAAGACATATCCATACTATACTCCTTATTATGAAACAGGCTGATCAGCATCTTCTTTCTCATTCCCCCACGCGCTTCGGGGCTATATCCATCGCCGTCACATTCCTTAATATAAACCTTTTTAATCTTCTCGCAGGACGAAGGAAGAAGTATCTGCTTCCGTTTTCGGGATTTTTTGCTTCGATCTTTAGCCAGATTTCCATCACTTTGCTCGTGGTTTTTCGCAAGGGGCGAAGCAAGGGGAGAGTGGAACAGCTTTTTACTTACTACTTGCAGATTTCTTTTGCTTACCGGGGAATCTGTTTCCATCTAGAACAATAAACAGAATCATTTATTACACTCTAATCCCGCTGCCAAACACCCGCCTTTCAAAGAAGGCCACGTCACGGTTCATTCTCTGAAGAGTCTTTATAATATACGTGGTAATTTTGTTGATCTGTTAATTTCTTTCAGATTACAAGTACATATTTTGACAATTAATTTATAAGCACGATAACACAATAAGAGCACTTAATCCTGCAATAAGCGCACAATCTTTGTACTCGAGCTAGAATAAACTAAATTAAGTTCCATCAAAACATTTTTTATATATCCAATTTTTGCGATTGTTACACGTAGGAAATGACACAATTTGTTTGGATCTTAATTGCGTTTATGATTTAAATATACCTTTTTTTCGGGACCTGTAAAGGGCCCGAACGTTGGTTTGTTTGAAAAAAAAAACAGCAAACACACGCGATTTAGTATAAAAAAATAGTTGAATTTCCGACATTCTATAACTACAATTAATATCCACAAATACGGAAAATTGATCGCTTACCATATCACTATCATAATTAGTAAAGTCCACAGATTCGTTCATGACATTATTTCTGATTAAAACGGTTAAATTATCTCTGTTCACTGAGTTCATTGGCGTGGACACAGCGGCGGCCATATTGGGTGCGCGTACGATCAAGGTTGAAAGCAGACTGGCAGGTAGACGAAGCAGGTAGTTTATGCCACGCTTTTATAAAAGCAATTTCTAGTGGTGCGCCCACATTTTAGATAACTAATAACAATCCCAACGTTTCAAAAGTAGCTGAATGTTTTAGTAATTATACATATATGCTTATAATAAGGAACTTGTATTACTTTTTTTTATATAACATCAAGAGACGGGACGAACAAGTTGTGCGTCTGATGGTAAGCTACTAAGATGGTTTGACGTAAGTTGACAAATCCCATGTGCCTGTAATTTCACCAGCACCCTTACCCTTCAAAACCGGAACACAGTAATGCTGACTGAGAAATAGGTAAGGTGGGAGGACTTCCCAGGACGAACTCTTTCACAAGGAGCACAATAGCTCGAAATTAATATTAATTATATGATTCCTAATGCCCACAATCCATTGGGCCAGGAGTCAGGCACCAGGACTACGCCTAACCTAAACACCTTTCGTGCCCAGTGTAGGCACCTATAGTATATAAATGATTGTAACGAAAAACTACTCACATTACTTATTTACAAATCCTCCAATCCTTCAAACAGGCCATGTCAAAGTCTGTTAAAATAAAAAGTGTGTAATAAATAGACTGTGGGATGTGTTCTTGAAATTAGACATTAAATCTGTTGTGCTTTTTGAAACAAAACGCGACTAAGTCAAGTTTTTTGCAGTTACAATCGATTTAATATTTGATCAGTCAAACTTTCGGCATTTGTCGAAGTAAATAAACCATATTTGTATTTTACGAGTATTTATATCCATATACATTGAAAAAGTGAAAAATGGTGTATTTTATTTAGTTTGAACCTAAATTAAGGTTTCAAGTAGTATGAAAAATTCAGATCCATTCGCTGTTGTTTAGCTAACATACGAACACACCACGCTATAAAAGCAGAGTCTGAATACAGCATCAACATGCAACTGAAATAAAAACAAAAAGCCGTTAACGAATCATTAATACAGTTTTATTCCTTCAAGAATGGCATGTCAAAAGTGTCATTAAAACATATTATTACCTACTTGTAATTATAAAATAAGATATGTCATATTATATACGAACAAATAATTAATTGTCAAACCCAAACCGATTTTTTTATAAAAATGTAAACAAAAATACATAATTTTGTTATTTAAAGTTAAAATATGTAAGTAGGCGCGTACATTTATATTTTTTCGCGTTGCAAGATAAAATACAATTTCGTAACATAAGTGCATGTGTAATCCCAAATACTAAATGCCTTTACGCAACCTAAATTTTTCCTTATGGTTTTAAACATAGGTTTTTAAATGTTAAAATCACCCAAAACGCATACATTATAATCCTACATACAATAAAATCTGATATAAAGAGACTACAAATGTAATTAGCAAGAAACGTGTCTCTTTTGCCTCTTCCCAAAAACATTTCAAACATCTTTCTTTACTTAGTAATTAAGCTAATAAGTAATTTAATTTAAATGTTGTTATAACGTGTAAAAGTCGAGATTAATTTTAACTAACTTTGATAAAATATGTCCTATGTATATTTTAAATTGTAAAATGAAATTAACCAAATTATAAATTTTACTATACAAATGTAAATGTCAGTTAACCAGTTAAAACAAACATACTGAATTAGCAATAGCTTTTCGTGATTTCGTTTCCTGAAACATCAATGTTAAAGATCAAATCTTTCTTCCCTTCATTGTTTCCAAAGTTACAAATGAATTCGAAAATCCAGAACCATTCTTTGTGTTTCCATCGTCTCTGCTCAAAATTGCCACTGAGCCTGTATCTCCAGTCGCAAAATCGTCTTTCACTGCACCTGTTTTCACAATGGCTCTTAACGGCGCAACAGTTTTCACGTCATTTTTTTCATTCACGTTATCTTTAATGGCTTTAGTAGAATTATCTACAACCTTATTCTCAATACAATCGTTTATGTTTTTATTTTCATTAAAATCGTCAACGTTTGCTTTAACTTCTTGTTGTTTAGCTGGAATGTCTTCAAACGATATTAAATCAAATTCATCTTCAAATGTTTTCAAATTATTCTTCTGGTCAGCGATCATTTTCATTTCCGCGTGTATCATTTTCCTTTTAATATAGAAACTTACGTTATGAACCGTGTTTTTCAACTCGCTCCTTTCACCATACTCCTTGAATTCGTTTAGGAACTTGTTCAATGGTATCAAATGATTCTTGCAATGGTTCCGGATCATTTGACTAACTTCAACTATGTCATGTTTCGTTGTTCCGCTAATTTCATTTAAAAAACCTGGTTGTATTTTCACTTCCTTAATAGTTTTATCTTTGTTTGGTGTCTTGTTTTCAATTTCAGTTACTTCCACAATTTTGACTCTTCCTGTTTTTACATTTTCGTGATTATCGATAAAAATATTGTCAATGTACTGAGCGTCCAGAAACGAGCTGCTTGTTTTCATGTTTTGCATTTTTTGAACATACTGGTATGGTTTTGACGTACCATTGTTAGTAATAATTTTGGTGACATCGAAATTAGCTAGCGTTTCGTTCTTGAGTGTTTCCCAGGTCTTTAAGTAACTGTAGTCGGTCGAATTCTGGCTGTATAGACGAGGAAAATTCTCCTTGAGGTATTGGGAAGTGGGAGGCGTATGTCTGAAGAGCTCCTCCTCGTGGCTTCGGCTTGAACTGCATACATCGGATGCGAGCTGGTTTTCCTGAAAATTCAGAAAAATATAAACTTAAAATATGAAATACAAAAAGAATTTGTTCCTTGAAACACATCTACGTGCGGAGTATGTACGAGAAATAAGTTCATAAATAGAGTGCTAAACAAACAAAAAATCTGTTTCACAGCAGCAGCGCCGAGAAAGCAGGCCTATTTATTTTCATAATTCATATATTCATTGTTCCTTGTAATTGTCAAAGGTGTCTATGTTCGAATTATAGGTCGAATCAAATTGTTTTGTTTTTCAAAGATGTATGAAATTTGAATGTACTAATAAAATCGAATTTGATGTTATTATTAAGCAATAATAACATTTTCACATATAAAAAGTTTATTCTAACAAAACAGTTTATAAAGATAAACTGCGGTCATAATTTGCGCTTTTTGAACACATCATAGAGGGTTATGGTATGTGTGCAGATAAACTACTATTATTACAGTACACGCTATCAGTAAAACGCGAAACCTGTCAGGATAGGATTATTTAATGTTGGGTGGTTTTAAAGCTGTAGTGCCGCGAAGATTTTTTATGTTTGGTTAGGTAGTATTTTGATTTATCTGCTTGGATTTTAATAAGTGATTACTTGGTATATTGTTTTTCTAATACATATTTTAAAAAGTAAATATGTACCCACCATAGCCTCAAGGTAGTGATAATATTTGCAGACGTCTCTGAATTCGTTGCTCTGTCCGCAGTGCAGCCACACGATGAACGCTCTGCGGATTGTCGAGCTGCTGTACGTACATGGAGTGGGGTCCAGCAGGGAGTGCGGGGCGGATTCCTCAAAGTACGACATCCTGCTGGAATAGTAATAAAGACGTATTTGTCACCACTGTAGGTGAATTTAATAACTTATGCCTAAGACACAAACCAGAGTGGAAGCCGTGGTTGCTTAATGGCTTGACCTACTGCGTCTCAAGCAGAGGCCATGAGTCCGAGTGATGAGGTTTTTGGTGAGGGAAAACATTATCACGAAACCTGCGCGTCGAAGAAGGTTCACAGGAAACGGAAAACGTGTCGAAAAAAGTTCCCAATCCGCTTTGGGCCAGCATGGCGGACTATGTGCTAAACTCCCGTCAAAGAGGAGATCCGTGCCCACCATTGGGACGTATATATGGGTTGATGGTGACGGTGTGATGAAGACACAAATCGCGAAAAGACTGGCACATTCTGTGTTTCTGGTCATCAAGTATTCTCTCACCGTACAATCCATCGAAAATCAATCATAGCTATTTAAGCATAACTGTCATCAACTCATTTATACGTCCCACTGCTGGGCATGGGTCTCTTCTCCGGCGAGGGTTTAGGCCATAGTCCGCCACGCTGGCCAAATTAAGGTTAGGTTAGGTTAGGTTAGACTTCACACTTTCGAGTCTCGTAACACAATTACTTTATGAAAAATATTATTATATAGCTCCTGCATTTCTGCTGTTATCAAGGATAAACAGTACCGTCCCTTGATATCGTAAAAAAATAATTTTGCCTTACGCTTACTGCGGGTGAGTGTGTATAGTATTTAATAAATTAGACAATTTCAATCATAATATGGAATAAAGTTATTTTGAATTTTCAACCTAAAATACACCCCCATAGAGACTATTCTACTTTAGCACTGGAGTAATAAATTTAATCATTAATTGAAAGTCACCTGCCTTAACTTATACTTAAATCTATCCAACAGAGAGTAACATGTACGAAGGAAATTCATGTGTAGAATACTTAATTACGTTTGACTTTAACTATGAAGGAAAATGTCGTGAGGAAATCTACTTGGAGTGAAACAACTCTTGAAAGACATTTAAAGTTTGAACCCGCTTCGGGCCAAGCAACGTGGTGAACTTTCACCTAAAATCTTTTTATCTGCATTAAGTCATTGAAATTTATTCCGAATTTCTGATCGAATCTGCCAAGTCTTATACAAATTGAACTCAATTATAAATCACTTACAACAATAAGGCGCGAAACACAGAGAGCGGGTCGGGCGCGAGACGGACGCCTGACCCGCAACCGCTCTCTGTGTATTTTACGCTTTACTCCAGTTGGGCCAACTACACTGTGAGCTCTAAACCGACATTAAAGAAGTCTGTAGGGCTAGCACAAAAGGGCGCGACTTGCGCGAGAGCCACATAAAGCGAGATACTGCGTTCTCGCATAGAAATCTTTTATTCATGTTGCTCTCGCGCAAGTCGCATCCTATCGTGCTAGCCCTACTGGAAGAGGCACATAGACCAGCTGCTGGGGACCAGAGTCCCGATATATACACGTTATTTTTAAAATAGGTACTAACAATTTTGTTGAACTATATTACTAACATCATAAACTAAAAGCGTTTGTTCTATGACATAATCATTCATCTGATTTTAATTTCATACAAAAATAAATAGATTCAAATAGTTCTCTTGAAAAGGTAATAACTTTGTGCAGGACGGGATGGGAGTCGTAGACGGGAATAGATGCTTGCACATTTGACCTCACTACTTACCACTTACTAATTACAGATCTAAAATGTCTCGAATAGTAGGTACAACGAAATCTGAAAACTTTATTTTTGGAAAATTTATTATATTTTATAAAAGTCGTGGAACAACAGTTGTTGTTTATTAATAATATAGCCCTGCGAGATTGTTAATAATTTAAAAATAACCCTGTACAATGCTAGGAACTAGTGTCTTACTAATTTTTCTACGTCTCTGCCTTCATCTTACTTTTCATTGTCAATCAATATTGCTGCGTATTTTTAATATAAGGAATATATAATATTAGCACTGATCAACATCATCGTCATCGTTAACCCATTACATTCCTCCGCTAAACACGGGTCTCCTCTAAAGACAGACTCAGCTGTCGTCGACCACGCCGGCCCGTTGCGGGTTACACTTCATACGTTTGTAAGGGTTATGAACTTCTTCAGCACGAAGTTTTCCTTTTTCGTTAGCAAAACATTTTTATAAACATTTGGTAGCAGTAGAGCTCCTTGTGAAACAGTTCGTCAGGGAAGTGCGGCCACCTTACCTATTTCCTATTATATTATATTATAGGTTTGGAAGTTACAGACACATGAGACTTGGCAACTTAACGCTCAGGGTGACGGGAGTAGCGGCAGTGCCCCTAACATTTTTGCGATTTAAAGCTCTTAGTGGCACTGCAACTGTTATGGATAGGCGTGTCGTTAACTACCAGGCGCTCGGCTTATTCGTCCTGTAGCCTGGTATAAAAAAATCACAATTGTACGTAACTTATAAATTAAGTCTATCAGCGAAAAAGTGGTGTAACTCACATAGTTTTTTTTATATAAAATAATTATTTACTTTTGTATCATTTAAAGGAACATTGTAGAAAAAGAAATTTAATGTGGGTTACACGACTTTAGCGTTAATAGCCTCAATGAATGATATTCACAGGGATTTGAACGGCAGATCAATTGAGAAGCACCCGCTCTCTCACTGGGCTACCGCCGCTGTTATTGTTATGCGTATCACGTCTTCATTACTCGACAAAGTCTGCAGATACCCCATATGTATACGAGTTAAATCCAAATTCATATACAATGAGGGCCGAGCGATCGGTGTCTCGCCATAATCTAATTTTTAATTCATTTGTGGTGAAAATATCGACTGAACACCTGTCGACCTTCATGAAGGAGTTACAGGACACCCACGTTGCGTCACACGTCGATGGACATACGTGTAAATAATTAGTGTCGTCTTAGTTTATGAGGGATGTATTTATGGGTCTATGTATTCTCAATAACCAATAATGAAAAACTTTTTTGAAAGCACACACTTTACACAAATGACACCAAAACTCACGCGAGAAATAAATGTTTTTTATACAAATATTTTCCTGTCCTTATGATAAACACCTCGTACCAATAATACAAATAATATTGCAGATCTTGTAACTATGTTGCACAACGAGGTAAAATAGCGATCATATTTGTTCACCAACACGAAGAATGAGTACATAATTCTTACCTTAAATAATCCATAAAATCAACTTTATTCTCAAATTATTAGAAACCCCGAAAACAACACTTTGAAATGATTTAAACTAGAATTTTTAAAGTAAATAGGGCCGCTGCGCTTGTAGCGAGCGTTGTCCGGCGGATCACAACGAAACAAATTCAAATAACCGATTTCTCGATGCATGAACGATTGATTTCAATCCACCCACAATTTTAACAATGATTTTTATAAAACGGCTCATAATCTGAAAGCCCAGTTGGAGGAAATTAACATTTGCTTTTCAGTTCGATTGTTCCACAGTGGCAACATAAATAATATTATTATATCGGTTAGTTCCTTTAGTTTGTATAAGCTACAAACCTTTACATACATTGAAAATTAATAAAACATGCATTTCAAAGGCGATTAAATTATAAAACGTGTGAATGTCCTCAACCTGCATTGAGTTAGTGTGATGAACTATGACCCTGTCCTTAGAGAAGAACCTGCACCTGCAGTGGGGCGTATAAAGGATTGTTTTTTTTTATAATAACAAGTGCCGGGACGAACAAGTCGTGCGCCTGGTGGCAAGCGACACGCCTTTCTATAACAGTTGCGGTACCACCCAGAGCTTTAAATCGCAAACTGCCACTACGGCCACCGCCCTGAGACAACTTCACAAGTCCCATGTGCCTGTAATGACACCAGCATCCTTAGGGTGCATTTAAAAAAAAATATTTAAAACGAATGTGATCTAAAAGTGATCTCCCTGACAACCTTTGAGGCTGAGGAGAGGATTAAATAATAATAAACCATATATAATAGTATTGTATACAAAGTAATATACCTATATAAAGTTGTGCTTACAAATATATGTTGCAGATTACAACCGTAAATATCTAAATCAACCCATATTAACAAATTAATTAACTACGATCGATGAACCTAGTTAAAAATAATGCCTACCAACTACCTATTAACTACGTAGAGAAATCACAACCATTTTTTACATTTGAGAATTAGTAACAATCGTATATTGTAAATAAAGGCGGACATAATGTACATACCTTGTTATAATCAAGACCGATCCACGCAGAGCTTATGTTTATTCACACATTTAATTATTATTTTAATTGATATAATTTCAAAATCATTAAAATTTTCCCTACCATCCTCCCCCGAGATCTTCCCAAATATGATTGACAGCAATATTCTAAAAACAATATTTTGCTTCTTTTTACCTGATAAAAACCCGCCAATGAGGTACCGGGTGCAATGTGTAGTGTTCCGTAGGTATATATAGCAGCTGGAGTTTTATTTAAAATGAGCTTTAGAATACAAATCGTTACATTTATTACTTTTGTACTCAATTTTTTTACTTAAGAAAGCGGATGGTTTGTTCACGATAAAATTTTGCCTGCTCATCGCTGTGTGCTTAGTTCGAAACCGTAGTATTTTGCAACACTGCGTTATTGTCTAAAGGCAGCGAGATGTGTCCATAGAACCTGCCTACCCACCGTAGAGTGATAGTACATATCAAGAAAAGCATCGAAACCATTGTCATGACTACTACTGCTTGTTAATGATAGTAGCCTACAGCAGATACCGATTCAACTTGTACAATGTCCGTCCCACTGCTGCACATGGGTTACAAAGCCGAAACATATATATATAACATAGGTGACATTACAGTCTATCTTCAATGCTACATCACATTCTATTACACTTTTGGGCAGTGTCGGCTTCACCTATGGTGCAGAGTGTGCTGCACACACGGAAGCAGGGGGTTTAGGGGCGCCGGGCGCCGCTCGCGACGCTCGAGCTAAAACTTCCAACACCATTTATAATTGCACCATTTGCACACGGCAATTCTAGTTCACTGGGGTATATAATATAAACGTAAGTATGCCATTTTGATCGCGTGCCTACTAGAGGACGCCAAGGTTTTAATTGCACCGGGGCGCTACTACATATAAAGATGGGAGAAACTGCTTATTTTTTAAACGATTAAACGTTATGCTTTTTCAAAAAAGCTTGCTTCTTTAAGCGCTTTTTCACTTAAACGCTTTTTAGTTTGAAGTTAACAAAATCGTTTAGAAAACGTTTAAGCGTATAGACTTTTACGTTAAAAAACCTTGCAACGTTGTGTTGATAGCGAAAAGCAAAAGTAGACCACTAAAGGTTTTAAGATAAGTAAGTTTCTTTGTAAAAAACGAGTTATATTTTTATTTATGACATAACATTTTTATATTAACATTTTGTTCATTGGTATTTAAAAACGTTCAAAAACATAAGTTGTTTAACTTTGTAGTTGTTAACCGTTGAAATGGAAGAAACTGCTTATTTTTTAACGTTAAAACGTACGTTTAAAAAGCGTGCTTGTAAAAGCGCTTTTCACACGCTTTTTAGTTTGACGCTTAAAAAGTCGTTTAGAAAAACGTTTAAGCGCCAACGCTTACGCTTAAAATGAAAAGCGTGCTTAAGCGCTTATTTTAAAAAGCAGACTTTTTAAATGCTTTTCGTTTAAACGCCCACCTCTAACTACATATTTTTGGGGAAAAAAATACCTGGTTACATTTAAAACCAGTGGGTATACATTTTCGCCATATGCCTAAGGATCCCTGAACCGTGGTGTTTTTAAACTTGAACCGACCAAGTGTATTGTTGAATAATTAGTTAATTGACAAACGAAAGTTGTTTCTCCGAAGTAATTTAGTAAGTGTGGCAAATAACACGTTCAAATATTTGAACCTTGTTTAGGAGCCCTGTTTGAGTGGTTAGGTAAATAGGATTTGTTTTGGTATAACAACTTTGCGAAAGGGTATGGAGTAATTAATCACCGCATAGTGTACGTTCAACGTTTTAGGATAAAGTCCATCCATTTACAAATTGCCAAACAATGTTAACACTGACAAAGTATTTTAAGGCCGCTTGGACTTCAAAAATTTATGCTGTTGGTATAAGAAATACCAATGTCGTCGGTTGGATAATTCCTACTTCTGACCATGGGATCTGCCTCATAGAACGACATCACGTTTGTAATTAACAGCCTGTTGGGGCTCTTAAAATTTAACGAGAAATTACATAAACTTTTTTTATGTTGCCAAGTAAGGGGATGACCAAGTCGTGCGCCTGCTGGTAAGCGACACGCCTATTGATAACAGTGGCAGTGTCTCTTGAAGCATCGCAAAGATCTGTAGAACACTATTTATATACCATTACACCCGTCACTTTGTGACATAAAGCTGACAATGCCCATACGTACCTATTTCACCAGCACATGGGACGCGCAGTAACTGTTACATTACTGCTTGGATAAACTCTTTAATAAGGAATTCTATGGGGTATATGAGTATGTCTCCATTTGACACAAATACATAAACAATATTAGGATAGCATAATAGTTAGAAGAATGAGAGGGCTTGTAAGAAGAGATAAATGAATGTAAGCGAAAAAAAGAAGTTTGTGAGATCGATTTTGTCTCGAAACCTAACATAGATAATAGTAAGTAATTAAGTAAGTAAGTAATAGTACCAAAAGTAATTAAGTAGGTAATTCAAACTTCGCGAAACATAATATTTTAAATATTTTTTTAAATCTGTAAACATTGTGACATAAAGTTTCTTGAAATAATTTAAAAAATATATTTATCAGAACAGCGACGAATATCATAATGGGGCTCGTACATGTAGGGACTAGAGGATTGGTGCCCAGGAGGAGGTCAGAAGGTCGCTGTAGTAAACACTGACACCTGTATGCCACTATGTGGCTTATCTGCTATTCATCTATCACACTTACCAGTGAATAATTGGGACGTCTTTTAATTAGTAACACGCATCATAAATTAATCAAGTTATTAAAATAGTTATTTTATTTACTGTAATAAAAAGTACTTCAATGATTAAATCGCACCCGTGTGCGTGTGTGGTGTAATAGGCCACAGCAACAAAATTACAACTTTTCGAGAAAGAATTTGAAAGAAACGAATTAAATTTGTTGTTTAAATTTGTTACTTTTTGTTCTTAAATAGGAAAGTTATATAATTTTACATAATTTGTTTCGTGTTGTAATTAAGTTTATTGAATGTCAGGATGTTCAACCACCGTGATTTTTTTTTGTGAATTGATTCCACTAATTTGTTGTAATTATTAAAACTATCATCGAACACTAACAGAAAATGCCTTCAATCCGGCATTTTTTTCATAATACCAAGTGACGGGACGAGCAAGTCGTGCGCCTGATGGTAAGCGACACGCCTATCCACAACAGTTGCAGTGCCACTCAAAGCTTTAAAACGCAAAGACCTGAGGGGCACTGCCACTATTCGTCACCCAGAGACATAAGTTGACAAGTCCCATGTGCCTGTAATTTCACCAGCACCCTTACCCTTCAAAACCGGAACACATTAATGCTGGCATTACTGCTTGGCGGCAGGAATAGGTAACGTGGCAGTACTTCCCTGGATGAACTCTTTCACAAGGAGCTCTACTGCTACTAACTGTTGGATTCGAACCAACGTCTTCCAACAAACCGTGCCAGACGCTGTACAAACTAAGCCGTGGAACAAGCTAGAGGACCTTACGAATTTTTCTATGTGCTTGTTGTAGATCTTTGTTATTGTATATTGGTTTTGCCGACTTTTTGCCGTAGCGCCATCTATGAGAAATCTATTTCTTCACTCAGCCAGGTGCCTTTACAGCTACCAGCAGCTGACTAGAGATATCGCTTTAATAAAATTGTAATTAAGTTTATTGAATGTTACGACGTTTCACCACCATTTTTTTATAACATCAAGTGACGGGACGAACAAGCGTGTGCCTGATGGTAAGCTACACGTCTGTCCATAACAGTTGCAGTGCCACGAAGAGCTTTAAATCGCAAAGATTTGAGGGGCACTGCCACTGCGCCCGTCACCATGATATGCAATTATTTTTTGTGAAATTACTCCATTAGTTTGTTATAATTATTAATACAAAGGCCTCAGAACAATCCCTCTCAGAGCAATTCTTTCCATCCGGCCGGATTTGAACCAACGTCTTCTAACAAACCGTGCCATTTCGTCGTTGTTTCATATTATTTTTATGACTTCCATGTGATGAAAGCACTCATGACATCTGATCATACGTGACTTTATCACACCAAAGGAAATAAGTGAGTATGTTTGTATATGTGTAAGAATTATTTGATAAGTGCAGTTTACAAACTTTCTCTCCTCTTAAAAACAAAGAGACTGGGCGTTACGAGAACAAACTATTAGTACCAGATGTCCACTGTTGAATGTGGGCCTCATAGACGAACCACCGCAATCGTTTCTCCGACCTTCTAACAAATGAATACAAGGGAACTTACCTGAAAGACAAAAGTATCTCAAACTAGTAAAATATTAAAAAGAGATAAAATGGTTTTGCAGATAGAAATGAGTTAATCCCCTAACAAAAACGTTTATTTTAGCAATAAAACTTGCCAGTCCCGCTTTAGCTAATTTACCGGGAAGGATGGATTGTAAAAACAGCTGACCTGCATATGTATATCTTGTAGTAACTGCAAAATTTAAAAATAACTAAAGACTTATTCTTATTTGCAATGTACAAACTATATTTGTGTTGCAAAAGCGAGTAATTCTTTCTGTGTACCGTTTCGGTTCTCGGGTTTCTCTCAGAGAAAAGTTTAAAGGAGACTGGTACCATGACTGTGGCGTCACAGTACATTTACTCAAATATTTTGAAAAATATACATTATTTCACTAAGAAAGAAGACATCCATTCTCGTTACCACCTTAAAACTAAGTCCAAACTCATGGTACTGAAGGGATGAACATCACTAGTGCCCTACCTATGATAGGCAACAACAAACAAAACCACCGAAAGGCTGTGGCTTTAATCTGTCAAAAACCTATCTAAAAGACAGACTATGACCACATCCTAATTAAACAATCTAAATATATAGGAAATGAAACTATTTTTCCGGATTTAAATCGCGTATAGATTGTTTTTTCAAACAAACCGACGTTTCGGGCCCTTTACGGGTCCCATGGTCACGGTTGACTTTGACGGTTGACACGGGAGTCAACCGTGACCATGGGACCTGCAATGGGCCCGAAACGTCGGTTTGTTTGAAAAAACAAATATACG